AATTGTGCAAAAGCAATTTATGATCAGACGATCGTCCTGACATACATATTCGCGATAATGCAATTCTCTCGCGAGAAAGCGCTCGAAGCTTCGCCACCTGGCGGTAACATCGCAGTACTGCTACGGGCGAGGTATCGCGCGGGCCGAATATGCGCATGCGCGCGCAAGTAGACTGTCGTATACAGGGGTCACGTGGTCTGCCAAACAGTCGTACACATGAAATCTTTGCATATAAATTACATGTTAATAACGCGCTTCTGAGACATGCTACATAGCCTATGTCCGTCCTAGAGTATGCACGAATAACGTGTCAAAATTTGAGGAAGATCGGTTCAATAGGTCTTGAGTTTTGCGCGAACATAAAAATCGGCTCTCTCTTTATATAATAGCATAGATAAAAAGTTTATTTCTTAATTTATCATTGTTCAAGCAGAAACTGTTGGGATTGTGTTTGATTCAGGCCAGTAATTCTAATTTATTTCTAATTTTAACAATGAACGTACCATTCTTGCACGAGAAGAAGGCACATGTATCAGTGAAATTCTATAATTATATAATTACACATAAGAATTCGAATGCACTTTTCTATCATCGATTAAAACAGAACTTTATTCAATATGAAAAGTTTATTGTATAGGTATAACACATACAGGGTGTTCGGCTACCCCTGGAAAAAATTTTAATAGGGGATTCTAGAGGCTAAAATAAGACGAAAATCAAGAATACCAATTTGTTGATGGAGGCTTTGTTAAAAAGTTATTAACGTTTAAAGATCCGCCAGTACTGAATTTTTTTTCTCGAAAATGCGTAGGATTTCGGGGGTATATCTATTCACCAAAAATGATTGTAAATGACCCCCGCGACCGAAAATAATTTTTCCAAATCGATTTGAAATTTTTTTTTCCGTCGAAAAATTTCACACCTTCTCGAATTTTTTCCTAGAAAGTGGGTAGGATTTCGGGGGTATGTCTATTCACCAAAAATGATTGTAATTAGCCACCGTAACCGAAAATAATTTTTCCAGAACGATCTGAAATTTTTTTTTTTCGTTGAATTTAGGCACCTAATTAGATTTTCGGTAAGGAATTTTTTTCTCGAAAATGCGTAGGATTTCGGGGGTATGTGTAATGACCAAAAATGATTGTAATTGACCCCCGCGACCGAAAATAATTTTTCCAAAACGATTTGAAATTTTTTTTCCCGTCGAAAAATTTCACATCTTCTCGAATTTTTTTCTCGAAAGCGGATAGGATTTCGGGGGTATGTGTAATGACCAAAAATGATTGTAATTGACCCCCGCAACCGAAAATAATTTTTCCAGGACGATTTGATATTGTTGAATTTAATTGTTAATAACTTTTTAAAAAAGCCTCTATCAACAAATTGGTATTCTTGATTTTCGTCTTATTTCGACCTCTAGAATCTCCCATTAAAATTTTTCCCAGGGGTGGCCGAACACCCTGTATAATGAAGGAGGGGGGAGGTAACTACAATTATTAATAAACGCATTTATATGTTCTACGAAAGGTCACAAAATTCTAAGAAATTGTGTCATTATGTACATAATTGTTTTTCTAATTGAAATTAAAAAGCAGTCGAAATGACTTCCTTGGGCAATCTAGTGTTAAATGTGAAAAGAAGTTTTCCATCCTAGACACCGAGGCAGACGTGCCATAATTCCTAATTAGAGGAAGCAGCTCTCTGTGCAACCTGGACGAGCACCTGCCTCTTGATATTCGCCATGTGAGAAGGATTTTCGTAGGCATCGGGGGATTTCCGGATTAGGGTCGTACGGAACTTCCCTCCCCCTACGATTCCACCTGCGCCACGGATCTCGAGGAAGATTGCGTATCTTTCGGTGGAAAATTGAAAATCCCCTGTTCCGTTCCGCTCGCGTTACTTCTCCCTTCTCACACGTATCTCGTCTGGCTATTCCGCGATCGTAGATCATCGCGAGCGATTTATCATTGTCTGATAGTCGTTCGATTAAAACTACGCTCGTGGCTTATCGAATTTTCGCAACACTGTTCGATAAAAACGAGAATCGATGGGAAAAGAAACTCTCGTGTTTTAAAAGTCTTCTAGCAAGACTTTTCAAATTTTCTTTAAAAAGAAAACTTTAAAGACGGATTGATAGTACAGAGAATTTATACTGAAGTATTTTTCTAAGAGGAAGATTGAAAAGTATTTAAGAAACGAAATTTGTGAACACCTGAAAATACCTTGGGAAGACTTCTAACAATTATGTTTATCTCGATATTGTTAACTGTGTCAACTAATGCCCAGTTTCACTTAAAAATATAACAGTTACTAATTTTTTTGTCGAAAATCAATTTGTCTTTAAATTTAAACAATTGCAATTTATTGTCAGTTAAATACTGAGTAACTTCAATAGGAAACATTTTTTTGTCAGACCATCGAAAAGGGGCTGACAAATTGTGGGGATTACAGTAGTACCCGCTTAAGTGTTCAAGTTTGAGACACTTAAGCGGGGAGGTGAATTCTATGAATTCAACTGACAATGATGGTAAAGTAAATAATCACCAAAAAAGCTTTCAAGGGTTTTAACATTTGTTCCTATCAATAAAAAACATAAACAAAGTATTTAAAATACTTGAGAATCATATCGACACGAAAAAGTTTTGATGTGTAAATAAATGAAATGAAAGTGAAAAAATGGAATGTATCGAGGAGGTCAAGTGTAACAACTTGACGACGGAGTGTTGTATCGGGAAGAAAGGACACCTGATAAACGAGAGGACACACAATGATGGGGCGTCTAGGCACAGCTGGCCGGAAAATCGATCGTTCGCGAAGAAAATTGGATGGCACATTGCGGCACAAAACAAATGAACGTCGCGGCTGGGCCACGTGATTGGCTATCAAGCTTGAAACGATACCCGGGGATATTAACCAATCGAGATCGTGGTTTCCATCGAAAAGTGGCGCGAGGCTGAACGATAAAAGTGAGGAAGGAGACGGGAGGACGTGCGTGCACGTCGAAGCTCCAAGGAGAACTGATCGAAGCATCAGGGACTCTCCTAATGAACGAACGGACGTGCAAACAAGGAGAAATTAGGGACAGACTTGGTTGGGAGAAAAAGACGGCTTAAAAGAAGGAGGATGTTAATTTCTGACCCGAACGACTTCAAAAAGAACGCTATTAGGGACGACTTGGAGCAATTAAGAATTAACGGATGATCGAGATGAAGAATTAATGAGGTATCGGGACCGTGTAAACGATCGCTTTGAAGTTTAATTGAATTTCGAATGGTCGAAAATAATTAAATAGAACGACGGATAAAAATGAACGAATCTGTAATCTTGTTTAGAGTAACCAGCAAAATGCTAATTATTCTTGGCTATTTTTCTTGCTTTCGAATGTTATCAATCCTGTTAATGATTTTTTTATCTAAATGAAACAGATTTTGTTCAAATGTAAGTTAATTGTTCGCCGGAATGGTTCGTAAGAACAAACGAATCGAATAATTTCAATCATTTGTATGAAAAAGAAAATTATAAAATAAAATCATTTTCCTTACAATTCCCCTTATTATTAATGAAAGAATTTACCTTAAGACGTGGTTGGATTTGGATTGAAAAGGTAGACTAATGCTGCATCACATTCTGTTACTAATAATTAACGATTTATTATGCATTCAAAAGTAAAAAAATATACATAACGCGCACAGCCATAGTCGTACATTAAAGTGACGCCATATTTGACGACGCAATACAGCACGCCTGTAGTCCCAGACTCACGCATGCGCAGTATGCGTAAGGGCCAGGAGCGTACAGTAACGTCGATTATGCATTGATATATGTGCATATGTACATACAGAGTATTCGGTTATACCTGGGAAAAATTACAATGGGAGATTCTAGAGACCAAAATAAGACGAAAATCCAAAATATCAATTTCTCGATTGAGGCTTCGTTAAAAAGTTGTTAAAGGATTAAATTAAAAAGTTTCAAATCGTTCTGGAAAAATTATTTTTGGTTGCAGGGGTCGATTACAGTCATTTTTTATGAATAGACATACCCGCGAAATCCTACGCACTTTCGAGAAAAAAATTCTTTACCGAAAATATGGTTTACTGCTTCTGAAGTTAATTTGAATGGTCGAAAAAATTATTCTGCAATATCTAGCCAAATACACATCAACGAATGAATTCATGAATTAGAGTGTTTTAGAAATTTTCTTTTTCCATGTGTAAACTATACTTACATTAATAATTATAATGGCATCGTTAGAAAATTAATATTAAAATATTAAAAATAAATAACATATTAAATGCCGTCGAGTATTGGATGTGATGCAAATTTTGTTTTTTTTTTCCATTGCCAAACAAGAAGAAATTACTGAAAAAATTTCTTATGTAACCTCAAACTGTGGTAAAAATAACTATAAGTAAGCATTTCGAAACTCTAATACCAGCGCGAAGTAATATGGAGACTGTAATCGTAGGAAAGCTGGGGGATAATAAAATGAAAATCGTTTCAATTTTCTAGGAAGGTTGATGGGGATACGAAGAAATCCCAATCGAGATATCGAAAGCTTGGAGATTTCGAGGTTGATCGTGTGGAACCCCTAACGCATGGATGGACGTGCAAACAATGAAAAGTGGATAAATGAAAGGAGAAAAGGAATAGGACGGGAAATGGCATGTTGCGTTCGTATGAAAGCGGAAAATGAGACCCGTTAGCAATTGCACTTACTTTTTTTTTTTTTCAGCTAGATTTCGGAGCAGAAAAATGGGAAGAGGAAACGAGAAAAAGTAGTAGACGTTTAAGTATCTCGGAACATATGAGATATGTCTTTTCAATATTGTACGCCACCTATATGTGGATCAAGCACTTTTCTATTGTCTCTCAGAAACGCTGATTTATCGAAAGCGGAATTTGTCTCTTCCTTTCTCAATTCCGTTCCCTATTGTGAAAAAAGTCGATCTATCAGGATTATATAGGGTGAATCACGTAATTGAAATGGATCGCGTCGCTATTGAAAATAAAGAAAAAAAAATGCTACAGAGAAAACTGAATGCAACTGAACAATATAACTTCGTATGGCCCTGTTTTCCTCGCAGGTGAAACGATGCACTTGTAAAATAGGATTACATGTTTCAAAAAATTACACTGCACATTTTTCATCCGGGTTTAGATGGGCTCTAAAATGAAACACATAAATAACATTTTTTATATTGGAAACGGGCTTTCCTGTAACGACCCAGTGATTTCTTCCAAATTTGTCTTTATAACACATTTTAAAGCACAATGCCGAATTACACCAAGATTTCATGTATTTGAAATCTGTTTATTAGTATTTGCATTCTTTTCTTTTTAGTATAATCCAATGATTGTCATATACAAAAAACAATTACATTATGAAAAGCAATACTATTAAGACATTAAGAATGTATTACGTAAGATCATATGGAAGTTATACCATGATTACAAACAGTTTTACTTACACGAAATTCTTTTATAAAATTACTTTATGCAACCTGATTGAAATATTTTGTAAAAAAAATGTACCTTATATCTAATTGGAAATATTATACATTAAAGTTACTCAGGACGCAGGGGAGTAGCACTACCCTCAGTCATTACTTACAGAACCTAAATCAATTATTATAAAAGTAGCAACGATGGTTCCAAATATTGTTGCAGACGTATCATTAAAACAGAAATCTATAATATAATTAGTCTCAAAGAAATGCACTCTAGGAAATATTTTTAAGAACAGATATCTGTTGATTCTGCAATATGTATCTCCCTTCTAATTCGCTTACTAATGAAAAAATATTGGTCTTTACAAAATGCTGGTCTAAAGAGTTAAAGGTTTTGACGCTTTGTGCCATTAATGCGAAAAAGGCATCGACAGGATGAGAAGTAACATTTTCTTCGCTTCTACTTTGCGTTAACAAGTTCGAACTATTCTGCAAAACAGTGTGCATATGTGCACTTTCTATAGGCATTATCCTTTCTTGCTCGGGTATCACCTTCTGAACGGGAGGAGTCCCATTCCCTATAATTTCTGTCGCTTCTGGTTGTACTACACTTTGATCGCTACTAATTTCTGCAATACATTTGACGTCATCGTCTGGGACTTCTTCCTTAATTGCTTTTTGATCTTTCACAGGTGTCTGATTTTTATCTGTTAAATATTTTTTCATGAAATGCATAAAACCCCCAAATTTCCATTTGGTAAGTTTATCATCCTGCGTGATTTGTCGACCATTACGTACTTTACGAAAAGTTTGTACTAACTTTCTCCAATTCTTTTGACAGTCTGTAACTACAAATTAAAATAAATAACTACATACGCTACAATTTATACTCAGATTGTACAAAGTAATAATAAGGTATACTAACTATATTTGTTTTACTGTGAAGTAAATAACACCGATAATAAATTCTAAAAGACTTTCAAATAATATCTGACAATCTGATATAAATAGTATATACGTATAACTATGAAAGGTGTCTGGTACCCGGTAAAATTGCTAATACTACGAATAACCTCAAACCTTTCAAATTCGTTCTGTCTTTTATTGGAACAAGTTCGCTACCGTGTTGCGAATTAAGAGAAGGAAAACAATAATTTATCATACCATTGTCTCTCAACTCAAATCCAATTTCTTTCCATGCGAGCTTTTTCTCTGCGGAATCATTGAATTGTGGATTGTTGGAGTCGTAAATTATAGGCCTCTTCCTCACTAACTTGATTAATAACTTTACTGAAGGAAAACGAAAAATACTGATGTAGCTAATAATAAATTATAATTAAATAATTATAATAAAAGTACAATACTTTTTGTATAATCCCAATTAGAAGTACTATTTCGTTTCATTGCTAAATTTTGAAAATAGACCTCGACAAACAACCAGAGAACATTCTCACTCTAATACTAATGGCGGAACACTGCCACGAAGTTTCTATCTGCGCCCTCTTGTGACCAACTACGAGAATTCTATGATCGACGTTTCAAAAGATCGAATGATTTAAATGTCGATCGTCGCCAATGAATAAGCTGCTCCTCTTTAAATTTAATTATCAACCAAATATATATTTAGACAAGCGAACTTAGTGTAAATATATGTTTGGAACGTAAACAAGCGACAGTTAGGATCTACATATATGTAATCATGTTAAAGCTTGATTTACATTAACGCTATTGTTACTTAATTTTGTGTTTATTAAGCATCTGCTCATATTTTGCCATTCGTTGAGAAAAGAAAATAATTCTAATAAAAATAACAGACTTTGTTTCGGTATAACATTGTTTAAATATCTTTATGCGAATATAATGCAAAATAGGTTATACTAATGGCCGAATCATGATCAAACCTGTACCATAAATTGGTTCGTAGCGGTACAATATGTCGGAGCTTGGCAGCATTGTTAATTTATTCGCAATGTAATGTGGTGACATAGATTATTCAGAGTATTAACGTGTTAAATGCCACATTGATACTACGGATTATACAGATTATTGCTAGGGAACAAATGTATTACTATTGATGTCCGTTGCTTAGACACGACTAACAAAATGTACTGTATTGGGCGTACAAAATGGCCACTTTTACAGATTGAAAAAAACAATAAAGTTGGTCGTGTTTTAGAACTCCTCAGTAAAAACAAATGTAAAGTTACATTTATTTTCAAAAACAGTTTTCGTTTTTTTTGTGACAAAAAGTTTTGGAAATACAGGACGAGAATATTATACATACTTTGTTTGTGGTGACATTGTCCACACTCGCCAGTAGAGGGACTGCTTTCTCACAAGTAATGGCAGCCACAATTTGAAAATAAATATAACTTTCCAAATGCTTATGTTGACTAATTTCAATATACGATATGTGTTTGTTGGATAATTAATATTATAAATAACTATGGAATCAAGACTTCTCCAAACCTTCTAAAACAATTAAAACAATAGAAATTCTACAAGTCAGTTCGTAGAACTACTCCTGACAACATAATATCCATTAAGACACCAAAACTAATCTAGACAACATCTAGATTCTGCTTTAAATTCAAGTATAATTATAGAAGAACTAAAAAGGAATATGCTTCAAACCACAACAAAAATTTAAATGTAAATATTAAGAAAATGTTTGATTATCATTTTCCACAAAATAATGGAACGCTTTGGTTGTACAATGGGCTTGAGCTGTTTCTATAAAAGAGCAAAAAGCAATTTGAGATATGCTATTCCATTTAAAACAGAGAAGATGGTGATCTTCATATTCCCTTCACGCTTCTGCCTGGCATGAAAATATTCTATGGCATGAGGTGTCGACACATTCAACATCTTTTTGAAATATTAAAAGCGAAGGAAATATTTCAGACCTTGAAGCTAGCAAGCAAAAATTCTGATTTCTTTTAAACAATGTAGGTCCGCTGGAGACCTTGAGAGAAGTTTTTGAGGTATTTTTATTATCAGCCATTATTTTAATGATATGTAGATAAACAGAAAATCACTTATCTACATACAAGGGATATTTTCACTCTGAGAAAACAAATTGTGACCGATGCTAAAAATGGTCTCCGACAATCCTGTAAAATTCCCTTGTAAATAGGAGGACCCAATAAATTTTTGTTGATTCGATATTTACTTTTATTCAATGTCAAAATTTGTCAAGTCTTCAACATCAAAATAATCTCCTCGTTATTTTCTTTCTGAAAAATGCAAGGTTGAAGAACAATAGTCTGTGGGGGATGATAGATGTGGAGTGACTATTCATGAAACAGAGAAGCTAATACTGTGGAATGTCGAGTATCGTCACTAGAAATTGCAAGCATGACCCTGAGGGCCTTAATGAACGGACAGACGTGCAAACAGCGCAGAAACGCAGAAATGGACTAGGGAAATACCGAGCTTGAGAGCGATGAATCTCTATCGTATCGAATACAAAGGAATTACGGGTTGACGAAAATCATACGTTCGTTTAATTATTATCTTCGATCAAATTAATATTAAAGTAACATGTTGGACAGTATTGTAACGTATTCGTTCCAGTTAATTAAATGTTGATGATGCTGTAGGATTAATTTATGAAATTTTCAAAGGTCGCTCAGAGCGATTATTAATAAATATTATTGTAATAAAACGCGTTCGGTCGACTTTTGTGCAAACAACATCGTTAAATATTCGTGAATGGTCAATGGACAGCACCGGGAACCGCATTTTTCTTTTATGCAGAAAAATTCAATAATCAGGATCACGTATTCGTGTTTGATGCGCAAATGGAAACTGGCAAATGAATACAGAATCGCGAAAAATATGCAAGCCTCGGTTATTCATTGCGTTACGGGTAACAATTCGCAACGACAAACATTATTGTCTGCTGAAAATTACGTTAATTAATTAAATGTCGCATTTATGAGTGCACAGGTTGTGTAGAACAAACTTCCATCACGTTCCATTCGCATATACCGGCGTAAATTAATATAACTCGAACCATGCGTGAAATTACATTTATAATTATCATTATATTAAAACTACTACCTGTAAATGTTCATTTATTTCTACGATAACATGATTATAAGCGACAATTAAATGTTCAATTTACCGATAATATGATACATTCATACGATTCAGCAATTAATAAATAGTTAATCAAAACAGGGATACAAACTAGTTAATATAATGGTTCAAAGTATAGTACTTAGGATCTTCGTAACTGTCTGTTATATAATTTTAATTTTTAACAAATAAATCTATAAAATTGTAGCAGACTTCTGAATCTAATCTAACCTCAAAAAGAATATCAATGATTCTTTTGTCATCGAAATAACTTTCAAAGACTAGGCCAGTTGTTAATCAACTAACAATAGAGTAAAATTTGAATAAATAGTCACCCAAATATAGGTTAGGATGTTAAATAAAACAGAACACTTGAACTTTAATGAAACTGTCAAAATAAGTTCGATGACAAATTGTGGATATGATAAAAACAAAGTATCGTTTTCGTGGACAATTTGACGGGTTTGGTCTGATAATCAACGTGATACAGGAAGTGGTAGATTTCTTATAAATATTAGGTTGGGGAAAAAGAAATCCATTATTTTTGCGTGAACTTCAAGACTTTATTTAACATGTTACGGATTTTCCGATTTGGGTCAAATATGCGCCGTTTTGTTCTATAATTTATTGCCATGTTAGAGGTAGCTTCATAATGCCTCTCTCATAGAAATCTTGGTCCTTATTGGCGAAAAACTCTAGTAACCGATTTTCACAATATTCTCTTGATGCCAATTTCTTATCACTCAGGTAGTTTTGCAATGCGAGAAAAAGATGGTAATCACTTGGTGCCAGGTCCGGACTATATGGTGGATGCATTAAAACTTCTCAACCAAGCTCCCGGAGTTTCTGGCGAGTCACTACAGACGCGTGTGGCCTAAGCGTTGTCCTGCTGGAACACAACACCTCTTCTGTTGGCCAATTCTGGCCGTTTCTGGTCAATCGCTAGCTTCAAACGGTCCAGTTGTTGACAGTAGAGATTCGAATTTAGTGTTGGGCCATATGGAAGGAACTCATAATAAATGATTCCTTTCCAGTCCCACCAAATGCACAGCAGAACCTTCCTGGCCGTTAGTCCTGGTTTGGCCACCGTTTGAGCTGCTTCACCGCGCTTTGACCACGATCGTTTTCGCACAATATTGTCGTATGTGACCCATTTCTCATCCCCAGTCACCATCCGTTTAAGAAATGGGTCGATTTCATTCCGTTTGACTAAGGCTTCGCAGATGGAAATTCAATCCATCATGTTTTTTGGTGTTAATTGGCGTAGCACCCAAACATCGAGCTTCTTTTTGAATCCAGCTTTGTGCAAATGGTTTAAAACTGTTTTATGGCCGATCTTTAGCTCCTGGGCGATGCTACGACTACTAACATGTCAGTCAACTTCGATTATTTCTGTAATTTTATCGACATTTTCGACGACGGACCTGCCTGTGCGAGGTGCATCTTTAGCATCAAAAATACCTGAACGGAATCGACGAAACCAAAATTGCACGTAATTAGCCCTTACAGTATAGGGACCATAAACACTATTTACAATTTCAGCCGCCTGGCTTGCATTTTCGCCTTTATCAACGAAAAACTATAAAATGTACCGAATTTTCTTTTTCTTGACTTCCATTTTTAACACCCTGTAACTCACAACTGAATAGACCAAATAAAAAACAAGAAAAGAAATTTTTTAGTGTGAAATGTCACCTTGCAAAGAGCATAAATTTAAAATTGTTTGATCGATACTTTACGAGATATCGATCACTACAGACATCTACCGACAAAATAATGGATTTCTTTTCCCCCAACCTAATAGTATATGACAGTATAATGTCCAAACCTCGCTTCAGTGGAGTCTCGAAGAGATATCATTAATTTCCTAGTAGATTCTTACTTTTTGATCTTTTAGAACCGAGAAATTTAAATTATAGAATTTCCCCTACCCTTTGTGGTGCAATGGGCGAAATATTCGCCAGGCATTATTTAAACAGGAAGGAGGGCAAAGGAAAGAGGAACATACAAAAGAAGTTAATTGGCGAAGTCCATGGAGAAATTAGTACGGCGACTGCGCAGCTTTAATAGAACATTAGACAGTTAAAAGTTAAAAGCTTTTCACACTTGTCGCAATTTTCGTGGCGCTGGAGCACGATATGCGCATGATTGTTCAGCAGCTCGGAGGCGAACTGACGACGGTAATTTATGGATAAGGAAATTTCTAGCCAGGCACGGAGGTTACTCGTGACAGGGAACGTGTCGCGGTGGTATTAAAAACTTAGGCCGTGTTCATATTTCTCTCGCGAAGTGGACTGTGTCGCTAAGCCCTTTCAGACGGCGAAGTCGTTAAGCTCGATTCATATGCGAACCGTGTCGCCGATCGGGTGCCGGCGGCGTGCAGAGGCGAGCAAGACTGAGGGAATAATGAACAAAGACCGACGGAATGCGGAGAAAGTGAGACATAAAAATATTGGACACGAAAAGAGAAAGAGAAATATTCCGTCGAACGTGAAATTGATTTGGAGCGCCACGAAATCTAGATACAAAATGTAGTTTCGTTCGGCGTAAAAAGATCGGTTTATTGTATAATTCAAAA